ATTAAAAAGTGTGACCGGCTGTTGTTTTTGACAGAAATGGAGCGTCGTGCGACGACCATGAAGAAATGTGGCTGTGGTAGCGAACGAGATGGGGAGGGTGAGGTTTTAGAGGGGCGGCGGTGGTCGTGGTCCGTGGCGACGTTGAACAGCAGTGTCCAGGGGTAGGAGATGAATTATTTATAAATTAATTCGCTAGGGCTCGTGTCGGTCTTGAAATTGGTTTTCAAAACAATGAACTCTCCCTCGACCACCTCGTCTCCAACAATCGGTTACCAATACTTACACCACCCCCCACGTAATCGCTTTTTAAAATAGTTATCATAATAGTGCCTATTATTATTTGAATGGAATAAATTGTATGTAATTTTGAATTGTTATCGCTTAAGGCACGCTATTAGGTGCATCACATCTATATAATGTATAACCGATATGTGTTCCCGAGTTTGATTTATAAGAGTATATTTTATAAATTGCAAACCATTATATTACCTATATGAGTTCTGTCTGAACACATTGTAATTTTATAAACAAAAATTATTTATAACATTTGCCAATTTCAAAACTAATATTTTCTTTATGAAAGTTTACAGCTCAACTATATTTATGCATATAGTCTCTTAAATTTACCATCAACAAGTTTACATGTGAGATAATTTTACCAAAACAATGTCCACAGTCTTTTTACCCACAAGTATGACCACACGCAGTCAATGTGTTTGTTAAATGAATTATCATGATTTTATTTAAATTCGATATAAAACTATATCGAACTGACTGACAGCAGATAACATGACAATACTAAATTAAAATAACTTATAACCACTGAGATAGATAATACGTCAATAAATATTATGATCTAATTTTATATTTTAAATACTTTGTAGCTTAATTTAATCTAACGAATGTATTTAAAATATGTATTTATTTATCTTTGCTTTCATCACCATGTTTTGGAGCAAATAAAAATGCTTTAGTTTTTAGCATAGAAAATTGTTCTGGTAGAAAATGTGATGTAGTTTGTTTTCTGAATAATAGGTACTTTATATTGTTTTCTTGTAAAATATAATATTTAAATATTCTGTCTCATAAAATGTTTTCTGTCACAACTGCACCATTTCTATAAGCATTTCTTAACAATAGTACTAAGTATAACTTATCGCATTTATAAGTATTACATTTATTTGAATCCTTTAAGTATTTAACATAAAAATATACATTGAAAATAAAATCTCGGAAACCGTTTCGAAAAAAACATTTCAAATCTTGAAAATTCCGTAATTTTAAACCCTTTCACAAATAATAAAATAAAGTTTGCTGAATTTTTAAATACTGTTTATTATGTTAAGATTTGGTTTTTTGTAACATCTCAAAATTGTCTTAGCAAAATCTACATTAATTATTTTCCCCAATCGCTAATTTTCCAATGTATGTTATTTTTCGTTTCATCGACCGCATGAAATAAACCATCACAATATGTAATAATATATTTTTAAATTATGCTGTTAAACACGTTTTAAGCAATCATGAAATCGAAATGTTTATCTAATCTCGATATTTTAATCTGCGTTGACCGCGAACGTTGATTGTATTGTTCCTTTGTGAATAATAATAACACGCGTGTGTGTGATTGCGACTAAACTTGTATTCAGGTATAAGATTTCTTAAAGCTCCGACGTTCATAAATATATTTTTTTTCCAAGCTTAGTTGAAATCTCAACTTTATCCTATTTTTGTGTCGCAATAACCAACATTATTATATCTATTCACACGTGGTAGTTTTGTAGAAGAAAAAGAGGAAACGCTTTTTATTCAAGACACGGGGGTAACTGTGTTGCATTTAGGTACCGTATACCTACTGAAGAAATAAATTACAAAACCTCAGCTTATAATAATATAATATACTTTTAGGTTTGCCATTTCATATTATTATTTTTTTCTCGAACTTCCGGGATATGTCCTGGTGACTATATTATTTTCTGTGTTAATGTTTAACTCTTAATATATTTTATAATTTATTTTTAAATCTATTTCGTTGGATTTTACATATATTTGGGCATGCATAAATACAATAATATTATTATATTTTGATAATTTTAAGTATAGGTTGTAAGTAAGAAGGTACCTATACTTCCAATGCCAACAGGCAACAAAAAATGTTCTTCTCATCGGGTGTTGTCATAATATTTGTGTTATCACATAGACCGACAACACTGCATTGCTATAATAATAATTATAATATTATATGTTTTCAACTATATTATATCTGTCGTGTCACTCTGAGCACCGGCGAGCCATGAGACTTGTAGGGTTATTGCGGAATCGATTTAAAACCATGCACATTACGAAATCCAAATAAATATTTTTTTATTCGATGGTACTCGTTAAAGGAGTGTTCTGAGGATACAGTAAGCGACGAGTGGCCTCTCGTATACTCTCGAAGGCCCATATCGGTAACATCGACGTATCGTTTAAATTTCAATTGAAATCGTCTTTCAGTTATGCCTCATGCCGTGTCAAAAGTCTTGTTCACCCGGCTAGATTAATGAATCGTAGACGATATAGTCATGACGTAACTATATTTTTATGACTGGCTTAAAATGGCTTGAAACCCAACCCTCAAGATACTCGATCGTATATCGTATGCTGTGATGGTTCGAGTTATTATATTTACCAGTAAAAATATTAATGTGTATCCCTGTGGATCCAAAACTATTTTAACGCCATCGTATTGGTTATTATTAAGCAGGTATAATATAATATGATGTTATTACTTATTAGCAGGAACTGGAACCTTTTGAACTTATCGGTATCGGTTCCGGTATTGGTTCTCCAAAAATAAAATAACTGTTCTAGTTCGGTTCTGGTTTTTCGATAAAACCAAATAAAGGTATCGGTTAGAAATTATTTCGGTACCAGTTCCAGATAATTAAGGTACTGAAAAGTATAATAATTTTAAAAACACTTATCCGGAATGAGGGTTTAATTAATAGTAGATATGAGAAAAATTAGAAGACTCATATGATCATACATAGTTTATACACAAAACAGTAATTGTAATACCATTAAATTATGATAAATAAAATTATTTTTATTTTTGAACTTAGTGAATCTATTTAATTTAAAAATTCCTGTTCGGTTCCTGTACTTTATTTATTAAAATAAAAGTTTCGGTTCAGGTTCGGGCTTTTAATACTTTAAAGGTTCAGGTTTTATAACCGGTTATTTTAGATTTGGTCCCAGTCCTTGCTTATTAGTATAACAATGAATAACGGTTTTATCACAAATGTTATCAGAGCGAAAATTACATTTAAGTCACTGTAGTATAAGCGCGTATAGACTTGGTATGGTCAAAAGTATAATTTGTTATACTATGGTGATAATATTATTCTGAACTTATATTGTAACAGTCGTTGAGTTTTATTTATTATACCTTCGGGAGCAATTAAATTAATATATTTCATGCGTCCGAATTCATATATGAAACAAATTGAGCTAATGTAAAGTAATACTTCAATACATTTAGGAAGTTGCATTTATGTTTCCCTAAAATATTACTTTATGCTGTGTATACATTTGTTATGTGGTATTTTTTTTTTTTTTTTACAATAATCCAATTCTACTGTATTCTAAAACAATATATTCATATTCTATTGTAAAAAAAAAAATAATAATAATAAAACAGGTTACCATGCTGTGTTATAAATTCAAAGTTAGGCGGACGAGACCCTTTCTAGTTCCTTTTGACATTTATACCCAACAGTCGGTCCTTTATGCGCATAATATATCATCCTTACAGAGTTTATGATTTTCCAAATTGCCCAGAGTAGCGGTTTGTGGCCGCCAGCGTCTGGGCTACCATTTAATTGTAAAACAATGGTAACCCACTGAAATCATTCGGTCACGTAGAGAAAACGAAAAATTTAAATAACAAATTGGATGTATGCTAACGACTTTGATAAATTGCAGTAATTGTGAATGCAATTAAATGTTATAAGTCTTCGAAGTTTCATCTCTGGCTTTTAGTGTATATTAATTATTTTACATTTTAATGTTTGATTTACATCTGGCTAATTTAATTTTTTGTTTAATTTAAATTCAAAACGTTTTAATACACAAATTTTGCACGAATGTAGATTTTTTTAATATTTTAGATTTATATAACTGTTTTATATTAAACAAAAATAATATCACTGCTGGATGTAAAAATATGCGAGTACAAAATAAAATTGGAAAATATTTTCATTGTATTAAAATCGAAATTGAGATGAAACAAAATATAAGAGTTATTATTGTTTACTTAAAATGTTTTATTAAAAAATAACCAACGAGTTCAATAGTGCCCAGTGCCAGTTGCCAGTATACCATATAATATTATACAAGAATAACCGATGTGCGAAGCAGGGGGCTGCACAAGGAAGCCGGGCGACGGATGTACCTGGATGTGTGTGCACAGGCGGCAGCTACACGTAAACCGACGCGTTCGTTGTCTTCGTAGGTATCTTCCTCGTAACTCTGTAGGAGGGGAGGGGACGGAGAGAGTGGACTGTATAGGTTAAAATGAAGTGTTTCGATTATAAGGCCATGAATACAAAGTAACCAACAACAACACAGAGTTTGGTGGTATGATAATGTACAGAACAATATTTATTTTACTGTTCTGCAATAAATGACTTAACGGCTAGGGTTAGTAATACTAATTTAGGGTGTGCGCGATCACAATCCGATCGGCACGTAAATCAATCACAATAAAAAATTAACAATAGTGAAAATAAAATAATACACAGGTCGCAGAACGCGAGCAATAAACAATTTGACAACAATAATATTATGTACGACCTGATAACGTTGATGATAAGGTGGAGATGGTGTGACTGTCCCGGAACGACGATCAGCTGACGGAGGTGGAACCGGATCGCGACGATACACCGCACGTCGACTAGGGCGACGTCGGCCGGCGGGTCAATGAACTCATGAACTTACCGTGTACTTAAAACGGCTTGATGGACAAAGGTGTCGCACTCGGACGAAAACGGTTGTTTTGGCGCAAAACTGCCTTAAAAACACAATTCGTGTGTGTGCACAAGGACACGACACGAAAACGGACTCAAAATATGTCCGGGCGGTGGTGTAAGTCACACGGCGTGAAAACACGTGGGGACCACGGCGGATCGCACTGCGTACAACGACGGGCGGGCGAAAAACGGTTGTTTTGGCGCAAAACGGCCTTAAAACACAATTCGTGTGTATGCACAAGGACACGACACGAAAACGGACTTAAAACATGTCCGGGCGGTGGTTTCGGCGCAGACGGCCATAAAGAAACACAACTTCGTTACGACGAACGAGCCAAGATGGCTGAGCCACGAACGACGGACGGCGGACAACAACGCAACGGCGACAATACAAAACGCGCGACAACGGCGGGATGGTGTTGTAAGGAGCGCGGGTGCTCGTGGTGGGGTGTAGGCCGATAACGACGAACGGTCGACCGAAGTCCGCGAGACGTGTAACGGATCCGTACCCAACATTTTCTCCCCCCGTTGAAAGCCGTGGGCTTTCAAGGAACCATCAGAGCTGAAGATTGATGTTGAAAGACCAGATCGTACACATTACAAAAAATTGCGGGTTCAAAAAATACATAAAAAATACAAATATAAAAATACATTGAATGGTACAGCGATACATATACAATTTAAAAGAGGATGGAGGATGAACGAGAGGAAGCCAGGACAGTCTACTTATCTGTTGGCAGTTTAACAACTTTGACCACCGGTCTCTTCATCTCCCCATCTTGTGTGATGATGGTAATTACGCGGACGATTTGGTCTGGACCTGGATGAACAGCTGTAATGCGTCCCATACGCCACACGGAAGGGGGCTGATTTGGAGCATCCACAATGACAAGATCCCCCACTTTAAGGTTATCCTGGATAGTAGTCCATTTCTGACGACCCTGCAGCGTATTCAAGTACTCCCGTGACCATCGCTTCCAGAACGACTGATGCATTTGTCGAAGAAGCTGCCAACGTGTCAGTCGATTCATCGGAACCTCGGTGAGGTTTACTTCTGGTACTTCCATGATTGGTTGTCCGATGAGGAAATGTCCAGGGGTCAAGGCGGTGTGATCATGTGGGTCCATCGAAGCTGGAGTGAGAGGGCGTGAGTTAAGAATTCCCTCGATTCGAACACACAATGTCTCGAACTCTTCGTAGGTAAGCACTTGAGTGCCAATCACTCGTTTCAAATGGAACTTCACGCTTTTGATGCCCGCCTCCCAGAGTCCACCAAAATGCGGCGTGGCAGGTGGATTGAAATGCCAATCACAAACGACATGAGCGGACACTTGGGCTTGGACGTTTTTATCCCGAAATATCTGTTTTAACTGTCTAGCAGCACCAACATAGTTTGTGCCGCAATCTGAATACACATGTGCTGGTACACCCCGGCGTGCGACAAATCTATCTAGAGCGGCAAGAAACGCGTCGGCTGTCAAATCGGAAACAATTTCAAGATGTATGGCTTTGGTAGCCATACAAACAAATAACGCAATGTAGACTTTAGTGGTTTTCGTGTTTCGTCTTTTACATTCTTTAATGAGGTAGGGTCCTCCATAATCCGTGCCGACACTCGAAAACGCGCGAACTGAATGGACACGAGCTTCAGGCAGGATACCCATACGGGGTGTTGGATGTAGTGCTTTGTGCCTTGTGCACGTGACGCACTTAAAAATGACACGACGAACGGCCTCCCGGCATGATACAATCCAAAATTCTTGACGTAGCATCGCGATGATGAGCTTCGGTCCTGCGTGTAAGAGTCTTCGATGAAACGCGGTGATCAGCAGTGACGTGACGTGGGATTCCTTCGGAAGTAGATACGGGTGTTTCGCGTCATCAGACAACATTGAACGCTGCAACCGACCACCAACTCGAATTAATCCTGCATGGTCCATAAAAGGTGCCAACTGAGCCATAGTCGAGGGCGTCACTAGGTGGTTGGGTTTGGCCAGTTGTTTTAGGAGCTCGGGAAAATATGTACGTTGAGTGACTCGAACGGCAAGTCGCATTGCACGCTGTAATTCATCTGGTGTAAGGGCGTCCGTGTTCGTGGGTCGTTTTACGATTACACGATCAACGAAGCGCAACGCATATGCTAACGCATGCTGAAGACGGGACCATGATGAAAAACGAAGTAGAAAGGTATCGAAGCTCGGCGTTTCACAGACAACCATCACGCACGTGGACGGATTCTTCACCTCAGGTAAGCCGTCAAGACTGAGTGTTTCGAGTTGTGGTCCTGGCCATTGATCTTCCGAAAACTGTAAAAACGTTGGACCCTTCCAATGCAGCGTACAAGCTACAAGGTCACTAGGCAATAATCCGCGTGATGAGGGGTCCGCAGGATTCTCTGTGGTACGTACATGTGACCACTTGCAATCTGGAAGTAAAGTATGAATTTTGGCTACTCTGTTAGTAACAAAAATCTTGAACATTTTTTGATCCGCCGTAAGCCAAGACAAGACGACTGACGAGTCAGTCCAGGCACGCACATGTGATATAGGAATGACAGACGCGATTTTCGTGTGAAGACGATGCAACAGCTGAGCCAACAATAGGGCCGCACATAACTCTAACCTAGGTATGGTAAGAGACTCATCCTTTTCACTACCCTTCAAAGGGGCGACCTTGGTCTTGCATGTCACAAGAGAAACGGAAACCTTACCAGTTGGATGGACCACACGAAGGTACACGTTCGCGGCGTAACCCCGTTGGGACGCATCGGCGAATCCTAGAAGCTGAACGTCCTGATATTCCCGGATGTCAATATGGCGAGTGATAGTAAGGTTAGACAACGACGGAAGCTCTGATAAAAATTGACGCCATGCTATACGTAGATGTGGGGGAAGCGGAGTGTCCCAATTTAACTGCGTCTGCCAAAGTTGTTGCATGAATGACTTCGCCCACAATAGCATCGGACCGAGGGCACCAATGGGGTCAAACAATCTAGCAATGGCGGATAACACTCCTCGCTTCGTGTTGGGCGTGTCTTCAATGTGTGTGTGGTATCCGAAGGCATCGGTAGTGGGATCCCAATGAAGACCGAGTACCTTCAACGACGGTTCATCTTTGGGTTCGAATGAAGGACAATTAGCTCTATCATCGGGCGGGATACACTCCAAAATCTTCGCACTATTGCTGCACCACTTCTTCAGACTACAACCAGCTGATCGAAGTAGTCCTATTATGTGATTCTGCACCTGACTTAATTCCACTTCCGTATTTCGCCCAACTACAATGTCGTCGACGTAAGTGTGATTGGTCAAAACGCCCTTGGCGGCGGCAAATTGTGGTTCGGAGCATGCATCCAATGCGTGTAAGACCCGTATTGCGAGGAACGGGGCGGAACTCAACCCATAGGTGACCGTCAATAATTCATACTCCTGGATTTCCTGATCAGGAGAATGTCGCCATAAAATGTGTTGAAATACGCAGTCTTCGTCCCGGACCTTGATCTGACGGTACATTTTAACAATGTCGGCGATGAAAATGTATTTGTATAACCGACATGTAAGTAGGAGATCACTGATGTCATTTTGTAACTTAGGACCGACGCAAAGAATATCGTTAAGGGAAACACCCGAGGATGACTTCGCCGAGGCGTCGAAGACGACCCGTAATTTTGATATGTCACCATCTCGTTTCACTACCGCGTGATGAGGTATATAATACTTACCGGGTCGAGTAGCAACTTTCATGTGTCCTAACGATAGGTAATCATTCATTAAGGATCGACACGACTCGTACAATAGTTTGTCCTTCTGGAGGCGAATCTCTAAGTTCAGAAGACGCTTCAAGGCTAAGTGCCGTGACTCTCCGAGTTGACATGAGGGAGAACTAATTCCGGACTTTGAAGTAGATATCTGAGTTCCATCGTCATTTGTGAAAACGTGGTGTCGAAACGGTAAGGCGACACGAAAACGCCCATCTGCATCTCGTGTTGTGGATTTGGTGAACCACCTCTCACATAGCTCATCTTCCGTGGTAGGAACTGCGGGGGCAACGGGTTCTTCAACTGACCAAAAACGATGTAGTAGAGAGTCTATCGACGGACTAGCTGTGAGCACCAGCGATATACGTGGGGCGGAAGCACCTCTGGGAGGGTTCATTAATCCCATTAAAATCCAACCCAAATGACTATCCATGGCGGATGGAAAACCGACCACATGTTTTACTTTCGACTCAGAACAAATCAGCAACGGATATAGATCACTTCCAAGCAACATGTCGATTCGAGACGGAGTGTCGAATTGAGGATCAGCCAATATTAAATGTTTATATTGTGCGCGTACAGTATGTGGTAGTGGTGTAGATGGTAGATGAGACGTAATTTTGGGCAGTATAATTAGATCGTGGCAATTGAATTTTGGACTCGATGTATGATGTGGTATAAAAGAACAAGATGTGCTACCTCTTACTTGGGTCACCGGACTTTGAGACAAACCAACTATTTCACTTTCGCATTTACGTCGTGACAGACCAATGCGAGCTACGCAATCCGTCGTTATTGCCGATATCTGGGAACCACTGTCCAATAATACACGCACAGAATGATAATTGCCACGCGCATCTAGAACTCGAACAACGGCTGTACCCAATAACACTGTACTACCGGACGCTGACATGCCCGAAAATTTAGTATTGGCACTTCCTCCCTCCTCACTGTTGATTGGAGCGTGTTCCTGATTGGTGGTGGTCGAAGGTTCTGAGGCTGATGGATAATGTAACAAAGAGTGATGGCGTTGCTGACATTTCCCACAGAGGTATTTGGATTTACATGTGTCCACCATGTGTGTTGAACTCATACACGAAAAACACAGTTTATTTTCTTTGACGTATTCCCGACGTTGTGATACGGAATATGTCTTAAATTCCGGACAATGATACAAAAAATGTTCACCACGATTACAAAGAGTGCAGTTTTTAGGTTTGTTCAATTTTGACGAAGACGACGACAGGTTTTTATTCTTATGAATAGGTTTACTCGCGGTAGTAAGTACTAACTTCGATGCTATAGGTTTTTGAAATTTATTAAATCGGTTTTCAGTCTTGGCGACGCCCTGTATGTTCTCCAATATTTTTATACGTTTTTGAACAAAGGTTATGAGAGTATCAAAATTCGGAATAGTGGATTGACAAATATCCGCTTCAAACAATTGACGGGTGTTCGGATCTAATACACGTGAACCCAAAAAAAACAACATAAAACCCGCGAGATCTTCAACTCCGAGTAATTTTAACGTACTGACATTTTCTTTAAAAATATTTAAAAAAGTAGTCAAAGCTGGTACTGATTCTTGAGCGATAGGTTTGAAAGCGAAAAGCTTGTCCAAATGAGCAGTTGCGAGCAAACGTTTATTTTCAAATCGGTCGGTGAGCGCTGCCCACGCAACGTTATAATTCGCCGCCGACAACGG